GTCCCGTTTAGGGGCCTGGTTGGAGATGCTCTTACAGGGGAGGAGATGGCGATGTTGCAAGTGGCGAGGTCAAGAAATGAACCAGTGCCCTAAATATAAGTCATACATGTTTCTCATTTAGACTTTGGGTGTCACAAAGTATACGTAGAATATTAAGGAAAATAATTTTGGCATGGTGCACTGTGCACCATGGTACTTCTGCCTGGGTACGCCCCCTGGCCACGAGGGATGGAGGTGGGGGAGGCGGTATAGGAGGGGTAAAGAGATCGCTGCTTCTGGAGAGGTGTCAGAATTTATAGCAGCTCTCGATAGACATGTAAGGCAGTGATGTGAATTTGTCTCGAGTCATTGCATGTCAGCCTCAATCTTGAAAAAATAGTTAGGATTTAGGGGATGCGGATTTTTGGGACATGGTGCCAGGCGACGATGGAATCCCATGCATCGGTTGTTGCTTTGTGGTTTGGGTTTATTATAGTGACTATCTCAATACCGCCCATATACGCACTCGTAATACCTGATATGAAGCTGAATACGCGCCATCCGTGTGTCAGATATGACAAAGTGATACATCCCAATTAGGTGTGTGGGTAGGTTGCATATGACACAGTTTATCCCTTGAGCTGTCTGGAGAAAGAGTGCCATGGGGTACAGTTCACTGACGGCAGAAAGGTTAGCAATGCAAAATCGTTCTTTAAGTTTATTTCTCTAGCACAGTAGTATCCCTTGCGCTGCTCCCTGTATCTTGCTTTGATCCAGTGCCATAGGAATCACTGGTCGGAAGAGTAGCTCACTCGAGCTGCTGGTTCAACTCGGCACCAGGTTCTTAACGGATTTTGTTTTTTCCGAGTATTTAACCAAAAACTACCACATTTCACGGAAACGTGTCGAAAAACTACCACTTTACGATTTTGTGCGAAAAACTACCACTTTTTCCCTAATTCGTGGCAAAAAACTACCAAGTCGCGAAATCGCTCGCTTCGCCCGCGCTAAGCACAAAACTGACCGCTTGGGCCCACAAACCAGGTGCCAGCGTGCCCCCTCGGCCCGTCCGGGTCGGCCGCCCCGGTGTCGAACAGGACGCCGCCGCCGCGGGGGGCTCTATTGCTGCCGCTGCCGCTGCCGGTGCTCTGGCGCCGGTCGGCCTTCCTCGGGATGCGGCCGCCGTAGGAGGTGCCGAGGAGGCCCCAGCCATCCTCGTCGGAGAGATGCCAGCCGAAGCGCTCGGCCATCTCCTGGAGGATGCGCCCGGCGCGCCGGCGCCCGCGGCGGCCCCGAGCGGGCGGAGGAGGGAGATCCTGGCGAGATCCTGACCCCGGCCGACCTCGGCCGCTCACGCCCCGCCGTGTTCGGCCGCGCCCGGCCTCCTCTTCCACGCCCTGCGGCTTGCTCTGCGCTCCCGCCAGCGTGCCGACGTGGACTCGCCGTAGCAGCAGCCGTTCCCGTCCGCCGGCGGCAAGCGGCTGGGGAAGGAGGAGGCCGGCGACGAGGAGGAGGAGGCGGAGGACCCGATTGCTTTTTTGAAGAAAAACCAGGGATCCGATTGCATTTTTAGCCCGTTTATGTGTGGGGTCGGGCAGTCAGATTCGCGTTTAACCCAAGCAAAGCGAGCAGTTTTCACACTTGGTAGTTTTTTGTCACGGATTAATAAAAAAGTGGTAGTTTTTGGGACAAAATCGTAAAGTGGTAGTTTTCTGTCACGTTTCCGCGAATTGTGGTAGTTTTTGGTTAAATACTCGTTTTTTCCGGTCTGGTTCTAGTGAAAGGCTGTGACAGGTGGAGGAGAGGATGCGAGGGAGTGAGTTGCACAGGCATTAGATCACTGAATGGCTGGGGGAGAACTTTCATGAGGACGGGTCTCACGGGATGGGCGGCTTGGGGCTCTTGTGTTGATTTTAATGTGCTGTGCGTGTGTGAGCTGGTGAACCTAATAACCTGCGTTTTTAATGAATGATTTATGAAGCGTGGTTAATAGGGAGCGGACAGGGTGTGTGTCAGAGCATGCATTGACGTGGTTGATTTCAAGGCGGGTACGCGTAATTTGTGACATCGTGACGCGTCAACAAAATGACAGTTGCCCACCTGCACTTATGTTGCTGTCGGCAAATATACGTTTTAAAAATGTAAAATGACTTGATTAAGTGCAATGTGATTGTCCACGGCTAATGGTTAATAAGCACGATTTCATGGTCAACGTCTAACGCCACCTTCTGGGGATTTATGAACTGGCTCTGCTTGGTCGCAGCCAAGGCAGATGTCACATTGTGGGGAGGAGGGGGGGGGCACATTGCTAATGTAACATGTAATAAAAAACGAGTTACGTATGAATTAGGCGCTAATCAACACTGCCGCCAGCTGGTGCGGGATGACAAAGATCCACATCTTTCTTCAGTGCTGGTGGATTGAGAGCATGCAAACTGCGAGTAGATTGACGATGCATGGCTGAGGAAACTTACACCCTGGCGCTCACATTTGTAGAAGTGGGCCTTCCTGGGTTTTTGACCATGCCATAGACAAACTATAGCACATACACCATGTTGCATTCCGGGCACTCAGCGGGAGTGGCGACACTTCATCCATATGATGATGCGATCGAGGGGCCGAGGGGCTTGAGTGGGACATGGATGAACACATGGGGATGAACTAGCTGTGGCAAGCAGAGAGGAAAGAGTGAGGTTGCGTGAGCAGAGAAGGGGGGATGAGTGAGGAGAGAAAATAGACAGAGCGATGAGTGGCAACTGGATAGAGCTGTTACGGAGGAGCGCGTATAGGGTATCAAACTAGAATATACTATATTGCTGTAAAGTGATGTTGATAGGATTCTTCAGAGAAAGCTTATGGTTACAGATGGCCGGGAGCTGGCTATATAGCTCGGCGACTAGTCAAATGGTACAGCGATTACAATTGAAACGGAACAGTAAATGCCCATAACAGTTGAGCCATCGGATCTTGAACCCTTGAGCGATCATAGCCGTACGATAACTGAAGGAAACCAACACCTGGGACTGAAGATAGACAGGCTTGACACGCGTATGGTGAGCTGGATGTGTGGGCTGAACAGTCAAACATAATTAATGCAATTAGTTGGTTCACCCCAGGTCGAGCAGTTAATTAGTCACAAGCAGGTGTACGCAAATTATATGTGAGTTTTGGTATTGGTTCAGCATGAATGTGAGAGTCACGTGCAGTGAGGATACCAGCCTCGCCTGGCGCTATGTCCCAACGAGCATTTTTGGGATATAGGGGGAAATATTAATATAGTACTATGCTTGGGCCATTTGTTTTTAAAGGTTGCATCAATAACAATGGTTCCAATTTAAGATGTCATTCAATACAGCTTATCGATAGCACAATACCTTATTCTGTTCAAAAGAGAAGGCACAATACCTAACTGTCTAAAACCGAAATAATGTTTTTTATTTGACTTTCTATTTGCATACAATAATCATATAGTCTGCAGTAGGTTGGCTTCAAACTAATTTCCAGGTGGTATTCTTTTGTAAATTTGTTAAAGACATATCTTAAATATCCGGGCAATCTTGGAATTTCCAGCTCCATCATTCTTATTTCATGGCATTCAATTATTTCCGCTGATCTTATTGAGCTGGCATGCTCCCATTGCAGACTGGATGCCCATCAGGTTGTGTTTGTGATCAGCCACCAAACTGGAAAATCGAGGAACTCACGCTGTATTGCCTTCGAGAAGTAGAGATCCACAACTTGAGAGGAACTGAACATGAAACTGCTCTTATGAAACGGTTATTCCGTTGGGCAACAGTGCTAGAAAAGATGACAGTAACTTTTCATTGCTCAGTCGCTGAAAGCAAGGCCAAGGAGTTCTGCCAGATGCTTCAAAGCTTCTGTAGGCCAGAAATATCTATGAAGGGGCAACGCTTCGCCTAATCTAGTCGTAGCACAGGTAACCATGGCCTGAACTTGTTGGGAAACTTTATGTGCACCGCGGGGCCTCGCAGAACGCTTTGCCAACTTGTCACTTGTGTTGGTGCTCGTGCCTGGTGGTCGTCTTGTAGTTGGCATCTTGGTATGAATTGTACTGTTTGTGAACTTCATAGTTTGTTAGATCCTTTCGAGATGTTGCAGGATGTATAAGTTGTACTTTATGCATGTGGATGCTGTCTGAACTTCAGTTCTTGTTGCCAACAGAGCTTTAATCAGTCTGAGATCTGTGAAAAAAAATCTGGTTTTAGGATGAGCTTCATGCAGTTTTTTTTTTGTGGCAAAAATCATAAATCACATTTTTGAAGTTAAATTCTGAAACAAATCATACACATTCGTACGGATGTATTTTACATGTGTATAGTCTGATAATGTAATACATTATGGTGATCATAATGTATATCATGTTCAAATTTTGCACACATGTGGTACACATCCATATGGACGTGTAATTTTTTTTAGAATGTTTTGAGACTTAAAAAGGTGATTTCCTCTATTTAGCATTTTCGGTTTCAATAGCCTTAGGCCCTGTTCGGCAAGCCTCCGCTCCTTCAGCGTGGAGCGGAGCGTGTGGAGTGGTCCTTGGGCGACTCTGAAAATTTAAACTGGATGCTGCTCCGCTTCAGAGCGCCTGGAGTGATCATTGGGCGACTCTGAAAATTTAAACTGGATGCTGCTCCGCTCCAGAGTGGAGTTGGAGCGGGGAGAGAGTCCGAACAGGCTCTTATTAGGATATATTACAAGGCTGGAAGAGTACATCGTCCTTATGTCGGCACACTTCTTACTTTTAAACCATTTCATATTCGTCTCTCTTCTCATCTTTCTCCTTTCCTTTTAGGCATTTCATCAAGCACTTGGTGTGCAGGTGCTCATTGTGGTGTGTCAGTGTGTGCCTCATAAAAAAAGGCTCTACCCTCCTTTGTGCGCCGTGTATTAGGAAGAACACCTTTACCTTTAGCTCTACCCTCCTTCGTGCGCCCGTGTATTAGGAAGAACACCTTTATCTTTAACTTTGTTCATAGTTATCTTTAACTTCATCAAGCTCCCTAATTATGAAGCTCTCTTGATCAATCGAGGTCTTTAGTTTTAAATTCAGCGCATAATTCTAACCTACGAAGCACCGATACTTCAAAAGTTGTCGTATCGCCGTTCAGGACATCTCCAATACTCCGATACGCCCGATACTGCTTCGATACGCGTATCCCAGAAGTATCCCTTTTTCTTATTTAAAAAAAATAAAAAAATCAGATACGTTGACGATACGCTAGCGATACGGCTGGGACACGGCGAGCGCAGAACGCAGCCTGAGCGAGCCCAATAGCCCATGAGGCCACGACCACGACCTATTCCTTTGCCTCTCTCGTGTTCTCTCTTCTCTATTCGACTACACCGACCGGGACCTAGGGTTCGAGGGCGACCCAGGGCCGCCGCTGCCGCCGCCGTCGCAACCTGGAGTGTCGGCGCTGCCTCCTCCTCCGCCTAGAGCGGCTCACAGCCGGCGCTGCCTCCTCCTCCGCCTAGAGAGGCTCACTGCCGGCGCCCCCACCCCCTGAAATCGCCTCTCTGCCTGTGTCTTCTTCTCTTCTCCACTGCCGTGCAACTCGAAAGGTAAACAACAATTACCTCGAGCCCCTAGTGATGTACTGAAGAGGCTGGGAGTGGTGCTGTCTATCTCAGATTATCAACTCGATGGGGTGGTATTTTAATCTCATCTCACACATTTTATTATGTTTGTTTTTATTACATGTAATTTTATTAATTATTTATATATATACTTGCCGTATCGCATATTACTGTTTTTAAAAATTGCCGTATCACGTATCGCCGTACTCGTATCGCCGTATCGGTATTGCCGTATCGGTGGAGTTCTTTGGTCAACGCACGAGCTTCTTCTCTTTGATATTTAGATGCACGTCACTAGGTCGGTTCGTATGTGGGGTGAGTGCCGCCTTCTGTGTAGGACAACGGCGATGGCGGCGGCAACTCCACCGCACATTCCCGATATCTCAACTGGCCAGTGTGAGCCTGTGAGCCGGAGCTCCTACGCGCCAAATCCTTCGTCCATGGAGCACTGCGACGGGGAGATCGCCGCGAAGCTCTCCAACGGCGGCGGCAGCGAGGACCGCCTCAGCGCGGTCCCCGACGACCTTCTTATCCACATCCTTCTCAAGCTTCGCGACGCTGCCGTCGCCGCTCGGACCAGCGTCCTCTCCCGCCGCTGGCGTCGTGTCTAGACATTACTACCAGAGCTCCACTTCCCCCTCGAGAGTGACCCTCAACGCATACGCCTCGCCCGTGCCGCCCATGAAGCGCCGGCCCTCCAACGCCTCGACGTGCGCGTCATGGACGCCGCCCCTGGGTCCGTAGCGGTCTTGCTTCCCATCGCCGCACGCCGCCTCTCCGGCGACCTTCACCTCAGGGTGCAGCACAGCGGATCGGAGGAGGAGGTCTGGAGAAGTGTCACCCTTCAGCTGCCATGCTTCGAGGACGCCACCTCGATAAACCTAGATCTACACGGTCTTGGCCTTGCTATGCCGTCTTCCGGCATATTCGCTCGGCTCACCTATCTCTACCTGGGTTGCGTCAAGCTACGTGGTCCGGGCATGCTGGGCGACGCTCTCTCCTCTCCGCGCTGCCCGGCGTTACAGAAACTGATTCTCGGTGGTACCTCGGGTCTGGGCAACTTTACCATCCACTCGGAATCTCTCTTGGAAATTGTTGCAATATTAGGCAAGTTCATGATTAATTCCAGTAAATAATTCATGACTAGAAGATATACTAGCATGCAATAATCTAGCAAACTAGAAGAACAGCAAGACATGCATAACAGCAGCAAGCACGTAACAATAGCTGTAGAAACAGATATGAACAAAGGATGTTGAACGTACTGATCGTTAGCTATTATGGGTGCGACAGTGTTGATGATGATGTTGGCGACGATCTGCTGCTGACGGTGATGAGTACGACGATGAGTAGCACCGCCCGACTTGGACGGAAGACGACCCGTGATGACGAATTTGAGCAGTCGCGCACATCGCTTTCCAAAAACCTAATTCGTCCTCTCCCGGTGCAGGATCGCAAAGATGAACGGTTCCGGAGACCTGCTCTCCCACGCGCCGATGCACGTCGGCGTTTGGGATGGAGTAGACTACGATGGCGGCGCAAGTTGTGAGACGAGGCAAAACCCTAGGTGTTTTTCCGGTGTGTCTCTGGCCGCAGCCGGTAGCTGTATATATATTAGGACCAGAGGCGGTATTGTGTCGCGACCACAATCCCAAACCGACTTGGTTTCTAATTCGTATACTTACCGGACAAGAAATCAAAACTTGTCTGCCAAGACATAAAAAATAAAACGGCAAAAGGAAGCTGCGCTCCTGCAAGGAGACGGACCAGATTTCGGCGGACCATTCACGCGCATGTCGCATGTACGCCCCGCCCCGCCCCGCCCCGCCCCGCCCCGCCCCGGCCCGGCCCGGCCCGGCGAGGCGAGCGAGCGCGCGCGTGTGGCTTTCCCTTTCTCTTTTCACACATCACTTAGAGTGGTGGAGAGAACCCACTATATAAAGAGGTCCAACTCTTCTTCAACTTCCAAGGTGGGACTAAACTTAGCACCACCACTTGCCATTTTACACATGGGCTTTGAGATTTCAGAAATTGCTATGGGCCTAGCCCATTAATTCTAACAATCCCCCACCAGATCTCAAATACCCATTTAGAGATTTGCCTTCTCTCACCACTTGTTTAATATACCAGTGTTTCAGCAGAGACTGTTAAGTTGAACTTCTGCCTAGAACTTTAAGCTACATCCATTCACAACTTGACAATGGACTATGCCTTGAATTGCTAGTTTTGTGTGAACAGGTTTCACTCAAAGTCTTAACCAGTACCTGACCGCCAGTAAGCTACCCCGCGGTTTGGAGCTTATACATCATACTCCCTGGTCTCTTCGTGAGTTTACTAGAGATCACCCAAATCTCATAGACTGCGACGTTTACAGTCAGAACTCATATAGGTGTGTTCTTTCAAGACTGCTCTGTAGGACATCATCTTTGCTAATTATAGCCAATAGAACCACATTAAGGCATGTTGCCGACCTGCCTTACAGATCTGAGCCTTACAGCTCTGAGAGTTTTGCATCTTCACTTGGAGACGATCATAAGTTATTACTCTCCTCAGTTAACCAATAGCTTGTTCTTCCCAGATCCTAATTCACGGGATCTCCGATCACAAAGGTTGGGTTACTACTATGGTGTAACATCTATGGGTCTCATACCCATCTCCCTCGATGCAATATCTATCACATTTCGTGATAGTCCCTTTGTAAAGGGATCTGCCAGGTTTTTGTCTGTTTGTATATACGTAACAGTTATTACTCCGGAGTTTCTCAACTTCCTGACAGACTTCAAACGTCTTTTCACGTGTCTTGATGACTTTGCATTATCTTTAGAATTGTTCACTTTATCGATAACCGTTTGGTTATCACAATTCATAAGAATAGACGGTACAGGTTTTTCAACCACCGGCAAGTCCATCAAGAGCTCACGCAGCCATTCTGCCTCAACAGTAGCTGTGTCCAAAGCAGTTAATTCTGCTTCCATAGTTGACCTTGTCAATATGGTTTGCTTGCAAGACCTCCATGACACTGCACCACCACCATGAGTAAATACATACCCACTTGTTGCATAAAGTACATCAACATCGGAGATCCAATTTGAATCACTATATCCTTCTAGCACAGCAGGATGCCCTGAATAAGTAATTCCCTAACTCATAGTACCTCTCAGATAGCGCAAGACCCTTTCTAGTGCATGCCAATGATCATCACCCGGGTTGGACATGAACCTACTTAGTTTGCTCACAGCAAAAGAGATATCTGGTCTTGTAGCGCTAGCTAAGTACATGAGTGAACCGACAATTTGAGAGTATCTTAATTGATCTCTCGTTTC